CCCCCCCCCCTGGCTACGCCACTGCCCTTGGGGCATTCTCAGTTACTTATACCTTCCCAGCGGTGTCCTGAACGTGGTCAGGTCTGTCGAAGCGTCCTCCAATTCGCATTGGAAAAATCCATCCGATGCATCTGCGACCGAAAAGTATTTAGCCTTTGATAGTCTCGGCAAAACATCGGAGAGCACAGGCAGTGGGTTATGAGATCTTCTTTCCGCTTGGTTCAAATGGAATGGATCTAAAGTAACCCTGAGCTTTTTTCCTTTTTTTGCTACTACCAGCATTTGACTTATCCCTGTCGTCGGTCCGTGAACTGGTGTAATCACTCCTTGGGCTTGTAGTTGTCTTATTCGTTCTATGATCTGGTCCTTCAGTGCCACCGGGACCTTTCGAGGCGGGCATTGGACCGGGGCAGCGTCTTCCTTTAGGTGAATTCGCACCTTCCCCGGTAAGCGACCCAAGCCTTGGAAGATATCCGCGAAGCCATCAACCAATGCCTCAAGCTCTGTCTGCGGTTGGACCCCTGTTTGAACCCGGTTCACGAACTCCACGTTGTCTCCGAGAGTTATGCAGCCCAGCGAAATGGACGAGGTCGCGCATAGAAGTGGCTGTTCGGGGAGATCCACCACCTGGGTGTCGTCTCTCTCCATTGATCAGTACAACTCTGCATTTCCCGATAGCCTCCGTTAAATCTCCACTGTACATGCGTAGTTTCGCGTTAGATCTTTCCATGGGTGGGACGGCTCTTTCGTTCCGTAATTTCCTGTATGTCTCCCACGGCATGACGTCGACCGTGGCGCCCGAATCCACCTGGACTCTTAACGCATGCTCCGATCCTCTGTAGTCCAATTTCAGATTCGCCATGACTCGTCTTCTTTTTGGGTCTCCGAGCTGCAATACATCACTCGCGAAAATATCGTTTTCAGACTCTGTCTCCGAGGTGGACGACTCGTTCTCAACTTTATGGACGTTGCGTGTATTTCCGACAGCAAGTTGTGAAGTGTCCATACCGTTTGCAAGTCTCACATTGATAGTCCTTCGCCGGACGGAGTCTCTTTCCCAGTGGATTCGCGTTGGACACGCCGAGAACTAATCTGTCTCTGATCAGTCCCTCCCTAGCGTCCGCTGGAAAGTCGCAGTCTTCGGCGAGCTCCATCACTTTTTCTATGAAGCGTTCGACCTCCATGCCTGCTTGATTGCAGTTGTAGAAACGCTCCCTCATGATGACTATGTTCTGCTTGCCACATTAGTCGGCTCCGAACGCCTCGAGACGCAGTTTCAACTCGATGCTGATCATTTTACTTGCCCTCAAAGCTGCGATTGCCTCTGAAGTTAGTTCGGGAATCGTCACGCTTAAGGCGCGAAGCTTTGACCGGCACTGCGGTCCGAGGGCGGAGCGGATAAGCAACTTGTATTTCGGGATTTTCCGCGAAGACATCGTTGGAGGTAGCGTAGTCGAGGAAGTCCCCTTTGAACTCTAGCCATTGTTTCTTCTTGTTAATGGCAAATAGAGGAAGCGGGCGAGGTAGTGGTAATCCGTTCTTCACGAACACTGACATTGTGGGCGATTCCTTTTTTTTCTATCCCACTTCTGACACCAGTTCGTATTCTGATTATCAAGAGTAAGAAGACTGAGATGCGTGATGCGTGAAGGTGACGGATGACTGATGGATTTATTGGAACGTCGTTAGATGGCGCTGCTGATATGCAGCGGGAATATTGGAATCTGCTCACAAACAATACGGAAACGCGTCGCTCGGTTTCTGGCCTCACCATTCACTTCGGTGGTTTGGTCTCTTGGAGATCCGTACGGCAAAGGTCACTTGTTCTAAGCATGCTGGAGGCGGAGACGGTCGCCTTATCGGAAAGCGTGAGAGAGAGTGTATGGACCGCCCGCTTGCTCGGGTAACTCGGGTATAGGACTGTGCCTCGACATTTCGTCGACAACCAGTCGGCCATCAGCCCGTCAGAGAGCGACCAGAGGGAGGCGAAAGCATCTGGAAGGATTGGAAAGCCACTCACCCGACTCCAAAACCTCCACCCGGTCCAACACCCCCAGGACCGAGTCCAGACAGCACCGGGGGAAAAACGATTCAGCTCCTGTCCGTGTTCTCCGCCATCTCGGCGGTTATGAACATGGTCGTCAGCGGATACTTCATCGTGGGACACTCGTTCCCCACAGATGGTTCCGGTCAAGACAGACAGAAGTACCCCACAACCGTCTACAAGATACAGAGAACCCATATCAGGAGACTTCGGGGGCTTCACAGCCGACCCTGGCACTGGCACTGAGTTCCTTGACGGATGCCCGATGGCCGGAGCGCGGACCGGTGGGGCGTTCGGAGGCTTCGGGGAACTCGCGAACCTGGAGGCGACGGAGGATTCGTTCGGAAAGCAACCGAGGTGAAGTTCGGAGAGGAAACGACGGAGACCGTTCCATCATCTGAAAAGATAAATCATGCTTAGCACCAATGCCAATCAACAAATCTACCTTTAACGAACATCTAACAAACCGACCAGCGAGTAAACTCACGTTGCAGAATCGAAAGCAAGAGGACCAGAAACAGGGCCGTCGGGAACAGACACACCAGGAGCGTGCTGAACATCTCTCCGGAGAAGCAGAACGCGGGACGGTCGTGTCGCTGGATCGTCTGACTCTCGGCGTCCCTCGTCCGGTCGACCTTCATAGGCTCTGGGACAACCTGGGCAACGACACGGACTGGTCTCGGCGCAGGCATGGGGATGGCGGACGCGGTCGGAGCGGAGGGACGGCTCGGGGCAGTGCGCGGAGCTGGACCCAAGTCAACCCTCGCAGGAGAGGTGTGAGCTGTCTTCGGACCCGTGCTATGGCCAACTAGACCGTCGCTCCTGCCTGGACGCGCGCCAGCCCTCCCTGCCGTGGGCTCCTTGATCGTCCTCTCCGACCGGCGTACTCGTCTTCGGTTTCGAAGGCTGCCCGACCAGATCGTTCTCCGGAAACCTGAACCTGGGAACCGATGCCATCGTCTCATCATCGAGCTGAGAAAAGCTCGGAAGGAGCCTCGCATACGACGGTCCGGGCGACGGGGTATGAGTCGACGATTCCGGACTTTCGGTATCGCTTGTCAGCCACGAACACGACGGAGGGGTCTCTTCACGACGACGAGGGGAGGTTTGGAGTTGAACACCGGCTTCTGCGACGTCTTTGTCCGGACTCGGCATCGGAACTACTAGCACAGCAGCGGCGATGCTTCGAGATCCGATGACACGAAAGGGAACGCGCCGGAAGTGTGCGTTTCGATGGTCGATCCGGGTTCAGTTTCCACTGGCCGATGACGTTACCGAGCTGGGCGAGCCATTCCAGACGAATCTGATCGGCGGTCCTCTGAATTGGCGACATGGCGAGAGCCGTGCGTAGCGATCCAGCGTCGGAACTCAAATGATGTGTTCAGACAAGAGAAGAAGACAATACTCCGTTGGAATAACTGCCATACCGGTAACCAATGAAAAACTCGAACACAATTTTTCAAATGAATTCCCGATGCATCGTGATTGGAGTCCAGGTAGAGCTGCATCGTTCATTGGTGTTCGTGCAGAGACCGCATCATTGATTGGTAGCCGCTCGGAACCACTCAGTGAATTCTTGATTCAAGAGCCGAAGACGAAGTGAACTGAATAATGATCATCACAACTGTCACCGGTATTTCGGTGCATGTTTCCTCGAGGTTAACGAAATCTGCCCTGGGTCTAAAGGTCCGCTCGAGGTGATCGTGGATCACGCAAAGGCGCCGTTTACCGGTGTCGAGTCAGCTAAGGACAGAAGAACATGCCGACCGCGCTAATAGCTGAACCCGTCTTCTTCCCACGGTCTCCACGAGAGCGTCTTTATCATTGCTTTTACTTCTAGCAAATTCTCTGAGTGATTCCCTGGCCGACATTGACTGTGGTGGGGGAGTTGTTGACGAATTCCGTTCCCAGCCGAATGTCGGCACTATGACTAACATGCGTAGATAAGCGAGCGAACGGAGAGGCCACATTCGAACCAGCATGTAAGAAAGCGAGCCCGACGTCTTGAGAAAGATAAAGCTGTTCGACTGTTCGTCTTTGCCGTAAGGTTTATGATAGCCAGTAGATACGATAAGTAAAGAGGCCTCTTAGGAGAGAAGTATAAATACTGGAATGAAGAACGCCCCACACAGGGGGAGACATTCATTCGTACACCGAATCTCTGAAAGTCTTCCTTGAGCCATAGGAAGGTAGTCGCCCGAGTGTTGCACGAATAATCGAGCTTAGAGTCCAGCCGACTATCCAGTGGTCCGAACTCAAGACTTCCTTCAGATTGACCTAGCGAAGGAGTAGTGGGAGAGCAGAGATCTGCTGACACCGTACCTGGTTCTGTGCAGTGATGGGCGTATTCGTCATCATGATAACGATCATGGTTTCAATCATAATTACCGTAATCAGAAGCATGATTGTGACTACAATCTTAATCAGAAGTATGATTTTTATTATGATCATCATCAAATCAAAAGCATGATTACGATTATAATCACAATCAGAAGTATGATTATGATTATAACCATAACGGTAATTCTGATTTTATTCGCAATCATACTTCTGACTATGATTGAGATCCGAATCATGCTTCTGATTATGTTCAAAATCGATATCATACTTCGGATTACCTATGCCTGTGATCGTATGTATGTATATATTATATGTGAAGGTGACTTCGGTGCGGTTCTCCATTTCTGTTCTTGCATCTTACTTCCCTATGTCCTAATACTATATCTTACACCGCACGGGATCACAGACGGATCGATGCGTCCGCTTGTTCGGACCGGGATTCCGATCTCC